GCTAGCTTATACACTTGGAATGACAGTCCAATAAATACCCAAATAGAAAACCCCAGAGAATGTCTGAGTTTTGTACATGCTGGTGAAAGAAATAAAAAAAAACCAAAATATACTGAGAATAGGATGATAAATATCTGTTATGGGTGTTTACAGACCCTGAAAACGTGTTGCTCCCGGCTGGAGGTGGCGGGTTTCAAAGTGCAGATGATGTGCGTTCGTAATTCAAAGTGCATGTGGACCCACGTTTGTGAATGTGTTCTTTCTTATCCCCACCCCCCACCCCCCCCCCGCCCCCTCCCCCCTGCCCTCCCCTCCCTTCCCCCCCTCCACCCCCCCATAGAATCGGTTCAGCCCGCCTAGTCGTTTAACCCCCCCAGAGCCCAGCCGCTTATGTGGTTCTTTATAGCCTGAAGGCTCTTCCTGGTGGGGGCCAGCCCGCCCCCCCCCGGCCCCCCCGACCCCGCCCCGGAGCCCTGCCCCTCTGAGTGACCTGGCTGGCCGAACGCTCCGTCCATCTCCCGCATCTCCTTGTTCATTTTGGCGATCCGCAACCTGGGAAGGGAGAGCAGACACGTCAGAGAGCGAGGTATACCCCCCACACACGATTTTACACCCCCCCCTGGACGGCGAACGCTCACAAAGTCACGATGTCCGCGTTGGCGTTGTCCACGGCGATGGTTATGGGGTCCTTCTGGCTCTCGTCTTTGGCGTTGTAGTCGGCTCCTCGCTTCAAGAAGAGACAAACCAACCTGGGGAAGGTGGCGGAGGTTATAAAGGCTGGTGGTCAGCGGCCGGCCGCCCCCCCCCGCCTGTGATGGCGTGGCCGCCGTACCCGGTGTGGCCCAGGATGGTGGCGTGGTGCAGCGGGCCCCTCCCGCCGCTGTCCGCCTGGTTGACGTTGGCGCCGTTCTGCAGCAGGAACTCGCAGGCCGCCAGGGCGTTCTGAGCGAGAAGCAGAAGTCAGACGGGTCTCACTCAAACCGTCCAGACCGGACCGTCTGATCTCCTCACCGCGGAGACGGCCTGGATCAGGGGCGTGCTGGAGCCCCGGGCCGGGTTGACCCAGTTGACGTCGGCGCCGTGGGCCAGGGCGTCGGCCATGACGGGGAAGTTCTGCAGGGCGGCCGAGCGGTAGAGCAGCGCCCCGGGATGAAGGCCACTCAGGTCCTCCTCTTCCTCTTCCTCATCTGAAAGGAAGTAGACGGTTCGCAGCCATCGCGTCGGTTTCCTTTTTTTGGAGGCGCAAACCGCCGACAGGTTCCCATCGAGGCAGCGTGTTTGGTGTGGCCGTGTGTGCGTCTCACCTTTGTAAAAGCCCGTATTGTTGTTCTGCATGATGTCGCTGGGGCTCAGGCCTGAGGAGAGAGACAGAAATCAACCGGTTCCTGCTAGCTGCCACAGCGAACAGAAGGTCAAAGGTCAGAGAAAAAGGCCACCAGGTGGCTGATGGTCTTAGTTAACCAAACGATGACGCTGCTAGAAAAAAAGTCCACTTGGCCATATTTGGGCATTTCTATGTAAATGTGTTTCAGCAGAAATTAGCCAAAACACGACCTGTTGTTTAGGCTTAGTTTCAGCCTCCTCTGCCCTTTTATGAATGTCTTTTTACCCATGTGGACGATATTTCTTGAAAACTTCTTGATGTTACAAGTTCGTCCACAAATTAAAAGCATTTTCTATCATAAATGAATTACTTCTCAACCATTCAAATCAAACTGGACCCAAAGACCAGGCTCCCTTAAAAAAGCTGGAGGTGTTAAACGACCGGCTTTACCTGTGTTGCGAGCCAGCGTGGCCCGGTTGGGTTTGGGCTTCAGAGGCGGCCGCTGGGCCGTCCGGTCCTGCGTGGTCGCTCTGGTCCTCCGGCCGCTGCTCCGCCTCACCGGGGGGTTCCGGCCCGTCTCGGGCAGCTTCTGGATAAACTTCTTCTCGACGTATTTTGATCGAATCCACGACTCCTTGTCTCCTCTGAGGAGTGGAAAAAGCACAGTTGAGGGAAAAGCAGCACCAGCCATTGAAATACATTTGATTTCTGGTTCGAAATGTTTTCTTTCTTTTTGTGTGATCTTGGACATTGCAAAGTCAATAATCGGCCACCCAAAGAATCGGTAGGAAAAGGGGTTCGCTTCTCATTCTGCGTGTAGCAAAAAGCTTCCGGATGTGGCGCCGGCAGCAGCCATCTGCGGCGTGTACCTGTGGCACTTCCTGTCTGAGGCAGCGCACACACCAGGAAGTCAAAGAACAAGTCCAAAAGCCAGCCGCCGCGATCTTAACGGACGTCTTTGAAACGAGCAAACCGACTCTGAGAACTGGCCCAGAACTGGAACAGATTTAGTCTGCAGAAACCAGCAGTTTTTTTTCTGTTCAGCCTGTCCCAGCTCGGTTTCATCTTCTCAATGGAGTACATGGGTGGCTTAGAAAATGCGAACGGCTAAATGATTAGAACTGAGATGATTTCACTTTGACTAAACTGCTGAAACTTAGTAGTATCACTATATCTGCTTTGATCGGAGCAGATATACGAAGCCCAGGATTCACTTCCTGTAAAAATTCAAAAACACTATAAGCTCCCATCAGAAACTCGTTAGAGAAATAGTATGGATGTTTCGGATCTCCTGCCAAACCAAAGCCCAGGTTAAGGATTATCCATCTCTATTTAATTCTACTGACCCTCTGTGGAAGCTGACTCATGTTCTTTAGTGTTCAGTAACGAGATGAAGACACTAAAGAAAAGTGGAGCTTTTTTATGCACAGTAAAGTCAGTAAACGCTCCTGAATGGCTGGAGACTCCATGGTGAGGGACAGGTTCCTCCACAAAACGAGGGGGGGAACCCTCTCCATGTTTGTAAGTTGGACTGTTCTGTACCTGGGACTGGAGGGCTGAGGCTTCTTGATGGTGATCTCATCAATCCGAGCCTCGTAGATCCTGTTGATGACTGTGTTTCCCAGCTCGCACATCAGCTGAAAAAAACAAAAAGAACAGAGTTAATTTGTTTCCACGGAAATTGCTTCCCGGGGCGAGTTTAGTTCAAAGACGGCTTTGCATAATCCCCTCCATTATCATTACCCTCGCAGGAGCTCTTTGCTAACGTACAACAAGCCGTAATGAGGCTCGTGGAGCCATTTTTGTCAAATGGTTAAATTACCTTAATGAGCTCTGGCTCCCACGAGTCAAGAGTGAGGGAGCGCACTTTGGAGAAGTGGACCCCCAGGCTCCTGTGGAAAAGGAAACAGGATTTAAGAGTGTACATGAGTGTCTTTGTCCGGCCATTTTAATGGGGACCGGTTTGTGCCTCACACAATCAGAGATCGGATATTTTGGAGTCTGGGGATTTTTTTGCCAGACGTTGAGGCTTTAAGTGAGTAAACTCCACGGGAGGCTGGAGGTTAGTGGGGGAGACGGGGTGGGGGGGGGGGGGGGTCTATCTACCTGTGTATCCCCGAGCAGACGATGCACAGCGTGATGCCCAGGTTGATGGAGGCCCAGTCGGGACCGGGCTCTCCGCAGTCGCAGCAGTGCTTGTTCCCCGGGATGGCCTGCACCTCCTCCAGCGCCTTGCACCCCTTGGTCTCCGGGTCGGCGCCCCCCCCGGCGCCGCCCCCCGGCAGGCTGCTGGCCGACACCGAGCTGCAGCGCCGCCTCTGAGGACGGGAACGCCGGAGGGATTCAGAAACGCAGGTACGGAGACCAGACTCTGTGTGTGTGTGTGTGTGTGTGTCCTCACTGGGCTGTGCGCGTCCTCCCGGTGCTCCTGGAAGGCCGAGGCGATGCTGTTCTGGACGGCGCTGATCCAGGCCTGCTGCTGCCTCTCCGAGTCCGCCTGCAGCAAACAGCACCTTCACACAGAGAGGGGGGGGGGGTGTTAATTGAACTACACACTGAAATGCACACATGCAATGAAGTGCGAGAAGCCCACGCAGAACCCACTTTGACGGGGACACCACTTCAAAGCAGAATCGCCTCTCGTTCTCCGAGCTGGGCTTCACGGTGCATAGACGCAGGTCCTCCACCACGACGGTGGGCTGGTCCTGAGGAGGAAAACCAGGAAAACACACACTTAACTGGCACTGAACGCAACACTCTCTTCTTAACATTTCAAAAACGTGCCGACAAACTTACCTTGAACTTCTTCTGGTACACCAGCTGATTTTTCTGAATGGAAAACCAGCGTCTGGGGTGGAGAAAGAACAGCTCACACGTTAGATTTGATTTGATATCATTGTGGTTGCAGCTATTCAGTGTGAAGGATCTGGTGGTAGAAGCTGCACCTGCTCCAGGTCTTGAAGGCATTGCTTGCCCTCTTATAGAGGTATCCCTCCATCGCAATCCCGTTAGCGGCATCAGCATTGAAATCCATGATGGAGTCGTCATAAGACATGTCCTGTAAACGGAAAGAGGCACCGGGGTCACTCCGGGGATCTCACTGGATAATTACATAAAGATTCCAACTAATGGCTACTAGAGTACCAAACCAGCCACTGTTTGTACAAGTCTGTGACTAGTTCACTTTCAGTCGTCCATTTTTATGACCGTTTCACCTTTTTCTTGATGGCCGCGTGTCTCTGCTCCATGTCTCTCTTCTCCCTGGCAGCATTTAGGACAAACTGCGTGTGCTGCCGAAACAGAAGCGAACACGAATTTAAATAATTCAGCTTTGGTTTAGAATGCCACCAGTGAAGGTTTTTGAGAGCTTTGTTCCAGAGAGAGGTCCTCCCAAAACGCTGTAAAGAACTGCGCACCACCGAAAACCTGCACGAAGCCGCATTTATATTACTTCCATCCTCCATTTTTTTTTTTACTGTTCTTTTCCACCTGCCTAGCTGTGTTTTCTTTACCCTGTGACCATGTTCCCCATTTCTAATTTCCTCTCTGACAGGTCTGGCTCTGGACTGGAGTGAAAAAGAAGACTATCAGGTGGGTTATCGCTCCTGCGGCCTTTTCTGGAAACAGGAAACGTGCTGCTTCTCTGTTTATCTGCTGCCAAATCCAAGAGCAACACAGGAAGCCTCTTTTGTAAAGAGTCTGTTCAGCGTATTACTTTAGAATCTTTCCTTTTCTGTCTCATCCGCTCATTTCTGTTCCTTTAATTTCCTGTCGAAACAGGAAACCGGAGACTTGCTGTGGCTTAGTTCAGCCGGTGAGCGTTTTTTTTTACTGTTGGCTTCCAGCTTTAAATCCTTCGAAAAGCAGGAAAAAAACGGGCACTGGTGAAACTGCTGAAGCTCCAGACTGACAGAACATGTTTCCGCAGTCGAAGAGCGGGAACTGACACACGCACAGATGCAGACATGTGAAATATTTCCTGTTTTTCGCTCACTTTTTCCTGTCACGATGAAAGTGTGATGTCATCCTCTGACTCTGCAGCACCCCTCACATGCATGCTTAGATTTGGCAAACTGACAAGAGCACTTTTCTTTTTCTAACATCAAGTAAGAAGAAGAAAATGTGGCAAAAAGCAACAATCTGGCTCAGTTTTTGCTATTTGGATCAGACCCCTCTTATGAGTTATGCAGAGGCTGTGAAAGCAGCATAAATAATAATGGACTGTGATCTGGCTAGCAGTCAAACCAATGGCTAGCCTTCTTTATTTGACTTTCAAAGAACATTGGCAAACTGATACATTAATGTGATCGCTAATTAACGGATGCTGGATCAAATTATTGTAATTTGGAGATAACATCATGTGCTGGTACGGTCACATGAAAGAGAAAATGGATCCTTATTTTAAAATGAAGTAAACCGAACCTTGTCAGCAATTCCTCACAAAAATAATCCCACATTTAGAACCAGCTGCTCAAATGCTGATTATTCTGACACATAATAACAGGCCGATGAGATAAAAACGTATGGTCCCGTTTCATTTATGCATAATTCATTGAATATATGATTCAACTTAAATGACCATTTACAAATTTTCTTTAAGAAAGATTATATGAGGATATCATTAAGGGATTTTTTTCCACCCTAATAATAGTGCGCATTAGAAAAGAAGGAAAATCTTCAAAGGCATTGTTATTATCAGTGTTGATAATTGTGGCTGTGTTGCTTCCGCGTTGCCTTCTGACTCCTAAATGGAGTTTTAAAGGAGGGTGAAAATTACCTCTTCGTTCAGTTTCTGCCGATATTCGTCCAGCTCGGACAGAGACTGGTGGCCCTGCTGGAAGAACTGGCCCTGGGCCTCCATCAGGGACAGCATCTGGCAGGAATCACAGAGCAGCGTTCAGACCTGGACCTGGACCCGGTCAGACCTGGACCTGGACCCACCGAGAGGCGAGGTGGATTCAGGTAGGCGTAGACGTACCGCGTTCAGAATATCCGTCTTCTTTTTGGCCTCGATGACGTTGATCTGAAACAAAGGGAGGCCCAGCTTAGACACACCTCCCACAGGGAGCCACACCAAGCGAATCCCACCTCCGCTTCCTCACCTCCAGGACGTAGTCCAGGGCCTCCGACCGGAAGGCCTTCCGCGCGTTGAGCAGCGCGTTGCTGGCCTCCTCCACCTCGTGCTGCTTGCCCCGGGGAGCCTGGGCGTTGCGGGAAAGCGCCGCCTCCAGGGCCTCGCTGCCGCGCTCAAACTCTTTCCGCACGTCTTTGAAACGCCGCACGTCCCTGGGTGTCCAGGCAGGAAAAAAACACGTGGGAAAACGTGAGTGACTCTGAGTGGAGGCAGATCACTTTTGGCCACGCTCATTTTTTCTTTTTTTTTTACACTAAAGTCATGTGAAACTGGAGAATATCCGCTTTCAAATGAGTCTTTTCAAATGAATATGCAATAGCGTTTGTCATTTAAATTTGAAGTTAAACAACCTTGTTTTCTGTTTAATTGGACTGCTTTGTGATTAGACTTTGGACGGAGCAATTAAGAATCAAACCAGGCCGTGTCCTTTGGGCTGTATTAACTAGACAAAAACTATTTGCCTTCAGACATATAGAAAAGGAACCAAAACCTGTATTGAACTCAGGGCTGATACAGGCTTTTGTTGTATTCGCAGGTCAGGTCGTGACTTCTTCTATTATTGAGCAGCCTGTTAAAAAAAAAAAACCTTTTCTGAGTAATGTTATAATCGTCTCTTTTTTATTTGGTTAGGGAAGTTAGAAGTTTGACTGTTGGTCTGCTCCGTCCAAAATTATGTTTAATCCAGACGTCTTTGCAAACCTAAGCGGGGCTGCCATGTTTGTTTTTAGAGAGAAAAGGCTTCCCCCTGCAGCCAACCAAACCAGCCAGGGGTTCTCAGGCTAAGCCGCTATTTACCCACTTCACTCCCGTAGAAGCTGTGAGTGTGTGTTTGCTCTTCACACACAGCTTCTGCATTATCAGGCCGTTTTGTTTTTGTTGGCCGCGAGTGTCGTTCATGTAAATTTGTGTTCTACAACCTGATGAGGTCCTTTCACGTGACTGAAAAATGACTTCAAGATTTCTGTTGTTCTTTTTGAAGCAAGCTGTAGCTGCTGAGCTTCAGAAACAAATGTTTTGTTTTCAGTTTAATAGATGCAGAACTTTTTCATCATTCTACACAATCCTCGTCTTTTCCTGTCTGTCAGAGTTAGGGTTAGGGTTAGGGTTAGAGATGAGCTGGCATCTTAGCTTGTGGCTTAAACTGGCCTGTGCACTTTGTGCATGGATCTCTTTGTGGTATTTTTCTGCTAAAGTGCCCCGGGGCTGACTTGAAGAAAGCATTCTGTCGACTTTAGCAAACCCCTGTTTACATTTGAGCGATAATGTGAAACCAAGTACAACCAGGGTCGTTAGAAAAGGCTGTTGGCTAATGACCACTGGACCAGATGACGAGGCCTCCTTTTTATCTAATCTGGCAAATGATTCCAACTAATGGCGGCGAATTGCGTAACAAAGTTTGAGGAGGAGGAAACGGCCGGATGTGCGCGGAGAGATGTTGGCTAACGCCTGCTGCTGTTGGGAAAGAGGCATAAATCCAGGATTATTAGATTAAACGAAGCAGCCCACTCACTCCTTCACGAAGTTCTGCAGCTTGGTTTTGACCGACTTCTGTGTGGTCTCGATCACTTCCTGTGAGGAGACAGAGACGGGGGACGGATGCCCCGCAGTGAGCAGGGGCATCCGTCAGCCATCGGTGGAATAAAAGTGCTCACACTCAGACAGACCGACTCACCCCGTGTGCCTCCAGGATGACGGATAGCTTTTTGGAGAATCTGTCCAAACAGTCCTGTCCAGCAAAGAGCTCTGATTAATTCACTTCTACATGTCATCAAACCCATCATCCTCATTTAAAAACAACCATGCAGTTTATCTTCTGTATTAGGCTAGCGACGATATTAGAAAAATAATGACTTTAAAGCAGATTTAAGACAAAAAAACTCTCAATCCAAACACTTCTTTAGTGTAAGAATGGCGAAATTTTGAAGTAAAAACTGTCTAATTTGCAAAAATGTCCACAACAGCAGTTCAGTTTAAAGGTATTTTGCTAATAAACATTTTAGTGATCACAAATCTATCAAGATTCTGCTTTCGGAGAGATAGATGGTGCACATAAATCTCCGTCTTATGCGTGGTGTGTCAGCGTGTTCTCGCCTCCATCATCCTGTCCCCCGAGCACTGGTGTCCCAGCTCCCGGAGGCCGTTGACGAAGCTCTTGCTGGTCTGACAGTAGGCCCTGCCCGCCTCCAGCATGGCCTGGCATTGTTTCACCAGCTGGAGCGACACAAAACAAATGGAGAACCAGGATTAAAACGCCTCTTTGCACCATTTTTGAAGCAAAAAATGCTTCTCTGTTAGCGTGACCATTCAAATCACAGATGATAATTAAAAATGCTGACCACTGTTAAAAATAAATACAGCCCCCTCCCCCTTTTCACCCTTTTACTAACCAGTTAATCACAATATAAATGCAATTCTGTGGTGTTTTGCACCCTATAGGTTTTCAAATGGAATTACATGCCGAACAACACTGTTTTTCATTTTGAAATTGCACAACTTATCCCAAGACACATAAATGAATCCCCACAAAATACATTAAACAACATAAATACAGCCCATTAGGCCCACACCCATTGTCAGCCCACACAGGGCTGACGTTGACATTTCATCTCAGTGGTCGCTCCTTTTTGTTTTGTTAATGTTTCCTAAGATTCCTGCGGGGCGACTTTACAAAGAAAAAAAAACGTCCCAGTCTTCTTCGGACGCCTGAAAAGTTCAATTATCAAGATAAAACTGTTAAACCATCCAGGATGTTTTACGAGAGCAGCCATGGGGCCAACATTAGCAAAGTTAGATGTTCGTGTAAAACTAATGAGCTTCTTCACTGATGTCTGTTCTCTTTTACTTTTTTAACCACAGTAATACCTGTCTGGAATATGATTCCAAAAACGGTTGAGGCATGTTTCCCTTTGCTGCTTCCCATAAGATCACATTTTTAGACTTTTTTTTCGGGCCTTCGTGTCTACTTAAGCCCACTGTTGTTACTTTTTAGCATCTCTGGACGTTACAAATATTACAAAATCACATACGATGTGATTGATAACTAATAAAAGTCAAAACATCCACAGACATGCAAGCACGGTGAAACACCTTTTGACCCCACTTTAACACCCACTCATAAAGTTTCTCATAGAGAGTGCAGCATGACATTTCAAGGCCTTCTTTTCGCCCACTCGATTTTCACTGCCGAGAAATGCACCCAAAGACGGATTTGACCCTGCAATCGCATTCTTCCCAGAGAGATATCGATACACTAGAGAAACCACTGAAAACCCTGGCCTATTTAAAAACTCCACACATTTCTGGGGAGGGTGGAGGGGAATGCTTTTCTGTGTCTAAGTGTTGGAGTGGAACAGATATTTTTCTGATTCTGATGATGTTCTGTGTCCTCAGGCTCTCTGGCAGAAAGCAGATGAACCTCTATCAGTCAGGATCAATCAAACTCCGCAATTAACTTCATGTATTACGAGGAACAAGTGGAGTCACCTGCCAAAAACGGGTAGATTGGTCAGTTCTTTATAGCGCGGGAGCATCTCCGTATTGGCAGCAGCCGAGTGTAATTCAATAAATCTCCTTAAGCGTGGATCTTAAGTGCCACTTCAACATCTTTTTGCCTCGTTTGATGCAATCTTTGTCATAAAAAATGCGCTTTAAAGGAGTATTTGGAGGCAAACCGACTAAAACAAGGTCTTGAATGGTCTCCTATTGACAGTAATAACACCTTTAGCCTCAGATACAGCTACTACAATAACAGCTAGCCTGCCAGAGCCTCCGTTACAGACTGTTAACACTTATTTTGGAAAAAACAAAGGAAATCAGGCTCACTCTAGAGCAGGATTCCTAGAAATTACTAATTGCCCTGTTCTTGTCAATTCTACTTGGAGCTCGAGCCAATAAATACGCAGGACTGCTACAGAGGTAGTTGACAAGGGACAGAGAGTAAAATAAATACTTCCCCACTGCACCAAAAAATGTGACTGCATGTTAGAAAGGTTTTTTTTAAAGAAACTAAATAAATTAAAAATACTAGTTTGTAAGATAGTTAATAGTTACAGATTCAGACTATCTTAAATAAACAAAGTCAAATAAACCAAACTATGTTCAACTGGTTAAACACTCCTTGGTCATATTGTAAAAATACTTATTGTCTTTGGTTTTAGAGAGATTTATAGCAAAGGATCTCCCCACGTCCCCTCCTTATTTACTAGCATATCTTTAGAAGAGAGGGTGTCTGTCTCAATGCTGAAAGGACACATTCTGTTCGTGGGAAACACGTTATCCAGAGGAGGCGGTTTATCTGTGCAGATCAGGCACGTCCCCGCACGTCCCCGAAACCGACGGCAAAACAACAACAACAACAAAAAGCGTGCGGCACATCCAGCCTGGTCCGATTTTTAAAAAAAAGTCCCCGCACGCACGTCCTAAATGCAGATCCTCTGTGCTTCTTCTGTCTCCCAGTGCGGTCGGAGCTCAGCTGCACGGAGGAAAGCAGGCAGGCATGAGGCGTGACGGCGGGGGAGGCCAGAGGCCATGAGGTTTTTCAACCCAGTTAGTCGGGTTTCTGTAGCTGAACGCGGAGATCCCTCTGAGGCCCGGAGGCCGGGGCCCAGACCCGGGCCGAAGAGTCCTGAACCGTCCGGTATCGTTTCGGAACCGAAACGGCAGCATGTGACCGACTGAAGTCAGGTGAAAGGTGAACAGAGCGGGCCATAGAAAGGCCACGGCGGGTCACGCAGGTCGAGCCGAAGCAGAACCAGAACCTTCAGCCCGTAACGGGACAATACGATGAGGAAGCAGCGCCTCTGGGTACGTCCCACTCACTTCAGCCGAAGTTTCCCTTCCAGCCAGCAGCCGGTTCTCACTTCGCTGCCTCCCCATTCAAGTAGACCACTACTACCACTAGTTTTCAGTCAGGAGGGGGGGAATGGGGGGGGCTTACCTTGTCCAGGCGGGTCTCCAGTTCACTCACATCCGTTTGGACGACTTCAATTTCAGCTCTGAGGAGAAAACACAGACACACAGTCAGACACACCGATACAAAGCGACTCAAAACGGCTTCGTGCACCAATAATGTTTAAGGATTTAGTGGCTGGAAGCTCAATTTGATGAGTAAAATTAATCAAAGTTTTATTTATTTGTAGTTCCAACAATCATCTGCTCAAACTGCAGACTTTCTGAATGACTTTTTTCAGATTTCTGACGGTTTGTTAGCATTTTTCTTCGCATCCGAGTGATTCCAAAATTTTAAAAGCGGGATCTTTATTTTCTGGTGTCACCTGTCTGATTTCGACGGTTCAGTCCAGAAACTGCAGATTTTTACAGGACCGGTTCAAAATGTGTGCGTTGATTTATCCCCCAAAAATACACAAACCCATTTTTAAAAATCCAAAACAAAGACACAAACAACACAGCATTTTGCTTCAATTCTGGGACAGACGTAGCATTCCACTGTAAAATGAATTACAGCTGCCACAATAAGCTCCGGGGATCTTTTTACACTCACTTCACAGATGCTTTAGGTATTTTTAGAAACCTTGCAACCTTGAGCAGAGTTCGAAACACATTCTTTTGGGTTTTAACGGAATTTTGGGGCCACTGAAGCCATCTAAAAGTTTGCATAGGCCTTCTTTTTCTTCAAAGAATCCCATTAAACGCCAAACTTTTGTTATTTACAACAATATGATGGTCTTTTCTGCCGCTTTCATGCACAAAAAGCCCCTTCAAGGCCCTGAGCACGGCTCGCTTTAAGGGTTTTGGTGTGACATTTGTTATCTCTTTCTTTCTGCTCAGCCATGTGGTTTCCGCTGCCTTCCACCAACAGTACAGAGAGAGACGAGAGAAGAAAAAAAAAGAAAAAGGAGACGAAACCGAACAGAGAGAGAAAAGAGGGCCGGCACAGACAGTGGCCGTTTGTGTTTGTTAGTGCAGGCAGTTTGAATCAAAGTCTGAGGTCACGTCCCCTAGAAATACGACCAAATGGAGGGGGAGGGGGGGGGAGGCCATAGAGGATGGCTAGCAGAAAGATTCATTTGCTGAGGAGGTGCATCGTTTTCTGCCAGACAGCGAAGCAACAGAGTTGACGCTGAGTTTCCGCTGTGGTTCTCCCCACAGAAAACACACTTCCTGTCTCCTGTTGATCACCTCAGCACATCTCGCCTCACTTCCTGCTGCCCTCCCACCCCGACGTCACCTAGCAACCGGAGGTAGCGCATCGGGGGCCAGCCCGGGGGTCCACCACTGTGCCCCCCTCCGGCCCTCATCCGAAGGCTTCCCTTTCCCCTCCGTCTCCGGACAGGAGCTCCTTGGGTTGGTCAGACTTTTCCACCTCCGTGCAAAGGCCTCCCAAACTCAAGGCAGGCCTCTCAAACTGGGGGGGGGGGGGGGGGGGGGGGAGAGGTCACCAGCCCGGTGTGGCTCAGGCAGGATGCCAGAAGCTTCGGGAGGCACACCCAAGCTCGCTCTGCAGCCACTTGCAAAACCAGCTCAGTGGCACTTCCCTTTAGATTACAACAGATGCTGATGGGGAAAGAAAAATGAAGCGCAAACTGTTGCTGACACGCTGCAAAACCCGAGAGCACTATTAGCAGGAAAAAAGCCACGTCTGGAACAACCTGGAAAGCCATTGCTTTAAGACAGAGGAAAAGTCCTAGAAAAGTGGAGGGTTCTGCATGTAGACATCAGGCCTCAGACCTGTGCTCACAGACCTGGGGGGCCTCATCCAGCCCCCCCAGTCCTCCAACAAACCAGATTTTAACTCAAAACAAGGCCTAAAAGCATCCTATTTAAAAAGAAGAAGCGAAGATCTCACTTTAAGTTTTTTTTATGGTGTTTCTTTCTGCTTCTGGAGCCTCTGGGATCATTACGCATGGGTGAAGCTCTTACCTGAAGCGCGGAGAGTCTTTCAGGCACTCCTCAAAGTCCAGCTTCACCGTCATCTCTGCGTTTGGAGTGGGAAGCAACAACAAAAAAAAAAACACGAACCACCGCCGTTTGAATGGGAACCTCTCCCCCGACTCTTAAAACTCAGTCCGGTTCCTCTCAGCGCTCAGCGCCGGCTGCTCCTGTCATGGTTCGGAGTCGGACAAGTCTGTTTGGTCCGGATCGGCCCCTTTTCTCGCTTTTCTCGGACAGATCCGCGTCTGAAAGGGCGACTGGTCACGGTCTCTGGGTGCGCGCAGGGGCCGGGAGGCGCCTCATCACCATCTTACGACGCACGGACGGGACCTGGACTCGGACTCTGTGGGGTTCCGGTGGTTCTGGTTCTGGGTGTGCTTGCTCTCTCTCTCTCCCCCCGCTGGTCTGATGAAGTCAGCTTCTGTGGATGTCGGAGGACTT